AAAAAGAATTGCCATTACCTCCAAAGGATTCGAACCTGGAGGACATCAAAGAAATAGAAGAAAAGAAGTATATGGTGATTATTAAGGATTGGGTTTGTCATGGAATAAAGTGGTTTGGTTTTTAACTGTCAACAAAACTTAGAATGACATACAGTAATGACCCGTAGGCAATGATTTTATTAATTAGAGGATTTATCCAAATTAGTAAAGGAGCGAAATATCATTCCCTAGGGTATATTTAGAGAAATAACTTTTCGACGACATGTGAGTCAGTATGTGACAGTCATAACAATTTGTAAATACCTAGCATATATACAATAAAAACATGCCATGCTGACCTGATTGTGGGTTAAAAAAAAAAATATACATTTTTTCAAAAAATTTTAGCAAAAAAACTTTTTTATTAAACTGATTAAGAACAAGCTATTAATGTTAAGTAAATTAGTTATAAAAGATCATTTATTAGAATATTTAATTTATAAAAACCAACTATAAGTAGTATGGAATAAAGGAGTAAATAAAATTTCTAGAAACTTGAAAGAGAAAAGTATTAGGATAATCATTAATAATCAAAAAGAATTAGAGAAACTTGACAAGTAAATCTTTAGATTAATGAAATAGATTTCTAAAACTAGTTAAGATACTTTAAATTTTGTATTGACCTTATAAGAAATGACTTTATTCTAGAAATGGTAAATCTAAAATGTCATAAAAAAGGCATAGGAAGAAAAGTAAAAATATAGATAATAAAGATACAAAAAGAGTTTTAAATCTTTAAAGTATTTCATAAATAACTTATATTCTATTCAAATAAAAATTTATAATTTTAAATTACAATGCAAAAAATACATACTATAAATCAATTTATATATAATATCAATATTAAAATATCAATCTATTAAAAGTTCATTGAGAAGCAATAAATTAATATAGATTTTCTAAACATTAAAATCAAGCATAAAATCAAATTATCAAGTCAGTTTTTAATAATATTCATCCATAAAACCGGGTAGATAAAAAATTATAAGAATTTCCGATGAATAGTTATTACCATATTTGTTAAAAAAATCAATTAAAACGATTAGAACCAATTTATCACATGATTGCTATTAAAACTTTTTACTGAAAATAAAAGACAAATTAATGTTACATTAAATACAATGACTAATCATAATAATGTACTCAAGTACAATAAACCAAGAAATTAGTTATAATAATGTACCTAAACACAATATGACCATCTCAAGTATTTCCTTAAACTCACGTGATTAGAATTAACAAGTAGTACAGAATATAAATAGGAAATCCGAAACAATAATTTTAAACTCGGAATTGTCAAAGATGCGCCCCCCATTAAATAATTAAAAACCAGATTCCATTATATTCCTCCTTTGAACAATATCATTTACAGTGGCTACGATCACGCGCATCTGCTTCGTATCCTATTATAACAAGATTAGGATGAATAAATTCAAGATTAACAAAATAAAAAAAGAAATATACTTACAGTTGCGTGCGTTAAATGAGTATAAATGCGCTTATTTTCAGGAGCACGTTCTAAGAATTGATTCTTGAAATAGTTTACAACACTTTGGAATTTATTGTCACCTAATAATTAAAATGTGTAATGTTAATACTATTCTGAAAATAAACTGTATTCAACTATTAGAAAAATTCGAACCATCGTATTCGGGAAAGTAATCTTTCACTCTAACGGTAGCCAATTTTTGCTTCAGGATGTCAATCTTATTCAAGAATAGGATGATACTCGTGTTTACCATAAGCGGATTATTACATATACTTTCGAATAAGTCAAGAGAATCACGCATACGATTAACCTCGGGATCCTCTTCGAGCGTTTGATCAAATGCAGATACCGCAGCCATGAAGATAATAGCATTTACGTCATCAAAATAGGGCCTAAATCAATGTCGTCGTAAACATTCCGAGAAAAAAAAATTATGGTTCTTCACTTTGTTTATCTAAAACTGAAAAGAAACTTACGCCCAGAAATGACGTTGAGACCGATGACCGCCAACATCATAAATCCTGTAGATAAAATATCAAATTGATTTGTGAGGATTTTAATATAAAATAGAAAATATCAAAAACTTTGATATCTCTTACTTGTACGTGACTCGATCGATGTCAAATTGGTGTTCAGTAACACCAACAGTCCTTATTCGAGCTTGAAGAATGTCTTCGTCAGTTGGTAAGTAGTCGGTTTTACCAAAACGATTAATACTATCCAAAAAGCTAAAAAAAAAAAAAAAATTCAGCGTGATACTCGAAATTTATATATTTTACAGTTACTTACTACTTTGCAGAATCTTGCAGCCCAATTTCGCTGGCAGAATCAAAGCATTGCTTAATGGCTGGATCTAGCCACAAAGATTTGATAGAATCAACATGCTCGTGAAATATATCAAAAACATCATCATCCAATTTTTTATCGCGGATGGCAGCTTGAACAGTAAAAGAATTGCAGTTCAGTGAATCCTTTATCGCTGTTAGATTGTTAAATTTTTCGAGGTGCTGTAAGTTACTGGGATCGGGTGTATAACCAAGATCTGGTAGGGCATTTACAAGTGCCTTCATAGCGGTGAGTGCATTAATGTAAACTATTCTTCGATACTGTCGTCGTTCCCCCTCAAGACCTTTCCCATGAATAATTTTTAATTGTTTAAGGACTGTTGTTTTACCACTTTCTGAGGAACCTATATAAGAATTTAAAGAAAGGTTAAATTAACAGCTTATCGAACAATAAGGAAATCATGCGGCATGAAATTCTCTGCGAACCTAATAATAACAATTTACTATCTCTCTGTTTTTCCATTTCTTCCTTTTCAGCCTTTAATTGTTTGTCTATAGCATCGCTATGTTTTTTTGCTTGTTTTTCCAGTTGCACGCGTTTCTTCTTTTCCTCTGGAGTTTCATTGAGCGGAACGAAGGGTTTCAAAGGCTCGTCTACATCTAAAGCGACAGAATATGTTGAGGACGCCATGTTTTTTTTTAAATGTTCGGATAGTATTAAAGGAAGTAATAATTTTTTTTTGTTTTTGAGAAGTCAATAGAATGAGTTGGAAATCGACTACTGTTTTTCTAGGACACAAATGGAACTCTAGAATTTTTTAAATAATAGCATTTGATCACGATATACGTTATTATTATTCTGTTGGTGTTTGATAAACGCTGGATTCCCATAAAAGGAGTCATAATTATTATGGAACCATTTCTAAAAGGAACCTAACGATTCCAGAAACAATTCTTATTTAAATTTATTTAGTTCGCCATTCTTTTCAGCAACGCTCCGAACCATATATGCTAGTCTATGCAAGTCAAATTTTTGGTTATTGATTTTTCATTCTAAATGCAAAAGTTTAGAAATATTTATATTTAAATTAATATAATATTAATGTAATATTAATATCTGTTTCAAAAAAATATTGATTTAATTATTGTTTATCCGTCGGATATTTAAGTTACAAGAACCATTAAAATAGCAAACAGTTATGTCAGACAACATCATCTATATACTGTATATTTTTGTTTTAATATATCATATTAACATAAAGAATCTTGTGTTCTAATTTAATATATATATATATATATACAGTATATATATTTTTAACCCACAATCATGCTACAATGGCATGTCTTTATTGAGATATTGAGAAATACCTAAATATTTTACAAACTTTCACAAAGCGACTAACTTGTCATTGTACATTATTAGTTAAAGAACTACACTACTTAAAAAATATGAGGAGTCC